CCGACGGCGGCGCTAAGAGCGCCCTCGCGAGCCGCGGGCCCCGAAACGGGTGGAGGAGCGGGACGACGGCCAGGAGCGCGTGGCCGAGGTCCGCCTGTGTGGAATTCAACCACTGGTTTGGGTGGTCCTGACCAAACTTCAGAATTCTCTAGCTCGATCAAATCGAAGTCGATTCGGCTGATTTTTGGACGAATCGATTGCTCTCGTCGAGTTCTCGAAGCACGGCCGAAGAGGTTGCGTCGAAAATGTCGCGTATTCTCACATTGAAGTCGGGTTGAAGATTTGAATTCCACACAGAGGTCCGCGAAAACGTCGCGGCACGCGGCCGACACGGTCGCCGGGAAGGCGTCGCGCGGCGCGCCGCCGCCGCGCGCCCGGTCGAGGGCCCGGGCGTCGCCCGCGTGGGCGACGTCGACGTCGCGGCCGTCGCGCGCCGCCGCGGCGACGTCGCCGAGGCGCAGCGCGGCCGCCGCGACGACGACGGGCCCGGCGTCCTCGTCGACGGCCTCGACCTGGACGACGACGGCCTCGTCGGCGCCGACGGCCGCGCAGGCCCGCGCCACGGCGTCGGCGCTCCAGGCGCCCTCGATTTCGACCGTGAACGCGCCGCCCGCCGCCGTCGCGGCCGCGGCGAGGTCCGCGGAGGAGACGTCGTCGAGCGCCAGGGGCAGCGCGGCCTCGAGCGCGCCGCAGACCGCCGCGCCGAGCGCGCGGCGGCACCGGAGCCGCGCGGCGTCCCCGGAGACGTGGAGCGTCGCGTCCCGCAGGTCCGGCGCGCTCGCGGCGTCGCCCGCGGCCTCGAAGCGCAGCGCCGCGCGGCCGCCTGGGCAGGACAAGAGAGATTCAACGTCGCTTCAACGTGAGTGTTCCGCGCGCGCGCGTTCTGGAAAAAGCATCCACGCTTCGAGGCCGTTCCGAGAGACGATCGCTCGTCCAGAAATCAGCCGAAACGAGTGGAACCCGGCCGAGATCGGAGCCTTTGAAGTTGGGAATTTCGCTCTCTTGTGCTGCCCTGGCGGCCGCCGGGCGACACGGCGACGACGACGCGCGCCGTCCGCGCGATGGGCGCGGCGCCCGAGGGTTGTCGCGCGGGGCCCCGGAGCGCGCGGTAGGTCGCGGGCCAGCGGTAGCCCGTGGCCAGCACGACGGCGACGCAGGGCAGGCAGCACGCGTCGCGCGCGAGTTTCGCGAACGCGACGAGAAATCGAAATCGCAGAACGCGCGGGCCGCGGCGCGGCGCGTACTCGCGGCGCCGTCGCGCACGAACGTCGCGGCGGCGTCGACGACGTCGGGGGCGCGCCAGGCCGTCAGGAGCGCCGCGAGGCCCAGCGCAGCGAAGGGCGCGTCGCCGCACGCGCCGGCGAGCTCCGCCCACGCCGCGCGCCGCGGCGAGCCCGGCGCGAAGGGCGGCGGCGGCGGCGGCGGCGGCGCCCTGGCGTCGTCGTCGCCGAGGTCCACGCGGACGTGGTAGAGACTCTGGTCGACGTCGTCGCCGTCGTCGAGCTGGCTCGCGAGGTACCTGGGCAGGACAAGAATGATTCAACGTCGCTTCAACGTGAGTGTTCCGCGCGCGCGCGTTCCGGAAAAAGCATCCACGCTTCGAGACCGTTCCGAGAGATGATCGCTCGTCCAAAAATCAGCTGAAACGAGTAGAAAACGGCTGAGAGAGGAGCCTTTGAAGTTGGGAATTTCGCTCTCTTGTCCTGCCCTGCGAGGTACGCCTCCATGTCGCCGAAGGTCTCCGCGACCCACTGCCGCGCGTCCGGCGGCGCGTCGTCGTCCGCCGCGGCTTCAAAAGTCCGGCACGCTCGGGACCGCCGCCAGGCCTCGACGAGGAACGGCAACCGATACGGGGTCGCCGCGACGACGGCGCACGCCGGCGCCAGGAGCGCGACGTCGTGGACCGCGAGGAGGCACTCGCGGAGCACGACGGCGTGGGCCGCGCAGGGCCCGCCGTCTTCGTGCGCGGCGCCCCGCATGGCGTCGCGGGCGACGCCGCCGCGGAAGCCCAGCACGACGGCGACGACGTAGCAGGGCAGCGCGGCGACGTCGAGCGCCGCGAGCGCCGCCTGCCGCCAGGCCCAGGCGTCGACGGCGGCGCTCGCCGGGTCGTAGGGGCTCAGGGCGCCGTCGCGGAGCCGCGCCCAGCGGGGCGAGAGCCGCGCCAGCGCGAACGCCGGCAGCGACGCCGCGTCGACGGCGACCAGCGCCGCCTGGCGGAGGAGGACGGCGTAGTACGCGAGGTCGCCCCGCGGCCGGCCGGCGCCGAAGACGGGCCGCTGCCGGTGCGCGGCGACGCAAAGCAGCGCGAGGAGCGGCGCCGCGGCGACGTCGGCGACGAGCAGGCCCGCGCGCCGGGCGCACGCCCGGCGACGGCGCAGCCCGATCCCGTCGACGCAGCGCTGCCGCCGGCCGTCGGCGGCGGCGGCGCTGCGGTGTCGGCCTCATCCGTGCTCGTGGCCTCCGAGCTCATTGTGAGGGTGGCCGTCTCCCGATGCAGCCCAACTGGAAAGCCTCCATGCTGCTTCCTAACAGTTTGTTGAAGATTTCTTTACCTGCACGTTACCGCTGTGTTTGAACTGATTCTTCGTTGGGGCTGCCTCACGACATGGCGCGCAAGCCGCTCGGCGCCTCGAACCGGGCGCCGGCCGCGCCGACGCCGGCGGCGGCCTTCACGCCGGCGAAGCGCGCCGCCCTGGAAGCGCTGCAGGCCAAGACGCCGCACAGAACCTTCGAATACTGCGACGTAAAGAACTCGCCGTCGCCGCCCGTCATGTCGCGGGAGGAGTTCAAACAGCGCGTCGTCGAGTTTTCCCGGGCCGCGCCGCCGCCCCGGGCCGCGCGGCCGCTGCTCCTGCTCCCGCATTCCTGGGTCGACGCCGTGAGCCGCTGCGCGCCGCGCCGCGTGGTCGTCGAGACGCCCGCGGCCGACCGCGCCGACCGCGAGGAGCCCGCGTCGCTCTGGCGGCAGATCATGTGCGGCGACTTCGGGTGCTTCGGGGCGCGTGAGGAGCCCGAGTCGCTGTTCACGCCGCGGCCGCCGACGATCATCTTCGACATCGACGCGCCCGACACGAGCGACCGCTACGACTTCAGCCCCGACGCGCTCGACCTCAGGAAGCCGCCGCGGCGGTCCCTCGACGCCGCGGACCAGAACGCGCTCCTGCACGCGCAGTGAATGGGGGAGCCGTCGTAAGTGGGACTGTTGGGCGTGGAAGGCTGGACATCTCTGGACGACGACGAGCCCCGGCGAGCGCTGATCGCCGGCTGATCAAGCTCGACACCGGCAGCCCCAGCCGCACCTCGCGCAGTCGGAGGCATGGCGGACATCAAGGACATCTTCGGCGAGAGCGACTCCGAGGAGGAGGAGGACCAGGGCGGCGACGTCGGGAAGCTCTTCGAGCTGAGCGACGACGACGACGACGACGACCTGCCCGTGGCGCCGCCGCCGGCGCGGAGCCGGCTGAAGCAGCGGGGCGCCCCGGCGGTCCGCCGAAGCCCAAGGCGAAGGCGCCCGTCGAGGGCGGCAACGCCTACGACAGCGACGACGAGCCCGAGGAGGACGACGCGGACCGCGCGTTCATCGACGCCGAGGGCGACGACCAGGAGCTCCTGGCCGAGTACGCGTCGGAGAAGCAGAACTTCCGCGAGGACCGGCCCGGCGGCGACGACTTCGAGGCCGACGAGCGCGCGAAGCCCGCGGGCCGCGGCCGCGACGACGACAACCCCATGGCGCCGACGCTGAACCGGATGAAGCGGAAGCGGACCAAGGAGATGGCGACGGACGAGAAGGACAAGGTCGTGAGCGCGCTGCTGGGGACCATGGACGGCGCGTTGAAGGAGGACGCCGCGGCCGCCGAGGAGGGCGCGCCGGCGCTCGCGAAGCTGAAGCTCCTGCCCGTCGTCGAGCGCGTCTTCAAGCAGAAGGCGCTGGCGAACACGCTCCTCGACTTCGACGCGCTCGACATGGTCGCCCAGTGGCTCGCGCCGGGCGCCGACGGCAGCCTGCCGACGCTCGCCGTGCGCGAGGCCCTGCTCCGGAGCCTCGGCGGGCTGCCCGCGCAGCCCGAGCACCTCAAGCGGAGCGGCCTCGGCAAGGTCGTCATGCGCTACGCGCGGAGCAAGAAGGAGACGGAGGGCAACCGGCGCCTCGCGCGCAAGCTCGTCGAGGCCTGGAGCCGGCCCGTCGTCGGCAAGCACGTCGACATGAAGAACTTGGAGGCCGCGACGGAGATGCGCTTCAAGCGCGACGTCCGCGGCAAGGTCGCGGCCGTCGACCAGAAGAAGGACGACGCCGACGAGATCTTCGCCAAGGAGGGCGAGGAGTCCAAGGACCGGCCCCGCGTCCGCGTGCCCAACTTCAACGGCTTCGACTTCACCGTGCGGCCCCTGTCCGGCGCGGAGCCGGTCACGGGCCGCCGCAAGGCCGCGCCGTCGGCCGACTCGTCCAAGGGGCGCCTCGCGAAGAAGATCAAGAAGCGCTAGGGGCGCCGCGATCGCGTAAGGCGCCGCTGGGTTTCGTTTTTTTGATCGGTGGCCGTCGGCCTTTGCGGCGCGGCGCGAGGGCAAAGTCGAGGGCAACTGAGCAACCGTGACGCGCGCGAAGCGCCGGGCAAGCTTTCGCGATGAGTTGTTTCGGAAAAGCGACGCGGAAGTTTATTTTGCGCCGCGCTCGCCGCGGGCCTCGACGACCACACGACGGCCGTCGGCCTGGGCGTCGTCGGCCTCTTCGCGGCGGCCCTCGGCCTCGCGAGCCTCGGCCCGGCTTTCGCGCGCGCGCTCTGCTGCTGCGGCGCCAACAAGGGGTGCGCCCTCGTCGCGACGAAGGAGGCGCGCTACCAGGAGCTCGTCTAGCTTGAACTTAGACGAAATCGACGTCGTCCAGGTCCTCGGGGGCCGGCCGCTGGAACGCGTTGGTCCGCTCGATGAGTTTCACGGCCCCCGCGCGGCCGAGCGACGTGAGCCGCTCGAGCTCCGCGAGCTTCGCGGCGACGTCGTCGTCGCCGCCGAAGAGGCCGCTCTTCAGGTCCGTCTCGCGCGTCCAGTCGTCGTCCCAGGACGAGCCCTCGGTCGGCGGCTCCGGCGCCGCCTCCTTGACATCGCCCTCGGCCGGCGCGGGGTAGAGCTCCTCGACGTCGCCGGGTCCGGCGACCCGCGGCGGCGGCCGCGCCGCCGACTCGAAGAGCCGCGGGCGCGGCGCCGGCGCCGCCGCCGCGACGTCGCTGTGGCCCAGGCCCTTCGCCGGGTCGACGACGTCGCGGATGCGCTGCTTGAGCGCCTTCGTCTCCGGGAAGCCGCCGTCGGCCGCCCGGTCCCAGACGACCGCGCCGTCGACGGTGACGACGAAGACGCCGCCGGGCTCGCCGTAGTGCGGCGCGAGCGCGACCTCGCCGATCTCGCCCGCGTCGAAGGTCGTCAGCAGCTCCTGGGCGAGCCAGGCGGACCGCAGCATCCACCGGCACCCCGTGCAGTACTCGATGCGCACGGCGACGCCCGCGGCGCCGTCCGCGGCCGCGGCGCGCAGCGGACGCGGAGAGGCGCGCAGCGGACGCGGAGAGGCCCGCAGCGGACGCGGAGAGGCCCGCAGCGGCGGCGGCGGTCCCAGGAAAGCGCGCACCGGGCAGAGCAGCAGCCAGAAGACGACGCGCCGAGGCCTCGCAGCCATGATTCTCGCAGCCATTGCCACAAAAGAGGCTCACTTGAACTGACGTTGAACAACAGCAACCTGCGCAAGGGGATCTTCAAGTACTTGAAGATCCCCTTGACCTGCGTCGCACCACGAGTTGCCGACATTGCATGACACAGGGGCAGCTATGGCCGCCCACGCATACGAGGCG